AATTGGATACAATAACAATTACAATCAATTATAATTGCGTATTAATTGAGTTGCAATTAATTTTTCGGTACCCCTGTCTCTTACCTACCAAATTTTCAAAAAGATTTTGCTGATTTGCTAATTGGTATTTACTAATATATTCTGTGAGTACATTTACGGGAAAGACTTCTGACTACTTTAAGGAATTCGGAAACTTATATCAAAACCCTCAATCTACACAGTGCCATAACCTTGTGGTTAAATTAGTCCTTAGCATTAAGTATTGTTGCTCACTGGGAAATTTATCAGAATTAATCAAAGTAATCACCACTGTAGCTGCCTACACTCAGTGTTTTAAAACTGATCCACTTGCTCTTATCAATACTATACAACCACTTACATCTATAACCTAATATGACTACTGCCACTATTCAGAATGTATACGACTACCTCGTAGCAAATCCACATGAATCTGTCATTTTGTCTGTCGAGCCATTTTTGGGTAATGGAACCCAGAACCCACATGCCGTGTTGGAAAGCTTGAGAAGGCTGCCGATGTGAATAACTAGGATAATAGGAGAAAAAGATATATTCTCCCAGCCTTTATGAGAGATGCTGCAGAAGAATGGCAGCATGCCCATTTCATCAGTAAAACTTATAGTGCAAACCATAAGGATAATTGGAAGGATATTACTGATTCCTTTAAGGAAAGATTCTGTAACTAGCGTTGGAAGAACAAATGGTTAAATGATTTGGATAATTTTAGGCAAACCTCAGAAGAGCCTATTGATGCTTACTATAATAGATTCAACCGACTAATGAAGCGTGTTGAGCCCGTAGTGACACTTTTGCCAGACCAAAAACTCTTTTATTACAAAAGGGAATATTACCAAATCTACTCTCTATGATCATGTTGCATAAGTCTACAGATATCAAGAGAATTACGGATTATGCCCGAATGCATGAAGAAAATACTGATTTTTCTACTAATGCTAACCCGGCCCAAGAAACTGCACCAAGAAATTTGGAAAGAGATATAGAATTTCTTATCCAACAAATACAACAAATGTCTCTTAATTATGCCACCCTAGCATTAGCATTGACCACCCAAGTCTCAGCGGGCCATTCCAACTAGCCCAATTAATCCAAATGCCCCAGACCCCCAAAATAACCAAAACCTCTTTGGTTTGTTATCGCTGCGGCTAAATTGAACATTTCACCCAGAATTGTCTTTTGGAAAAGAAGCCTGTTAAGGAACAGAAGGCTCAATCCAATAATGATAAATCCAAAAATGTCAGCTACGCCGATGCTAAGTATAAAGATAATTCTGGAGACTAAGAAGAGTTAGTGTATGTCTCTCAGGCACCCCGGCATCAACTATATATGAAAGACCGTAGAGAGGCTAAGCAAAAGCAATCAGAATCAGAAAAAGAGAATGCTTTGCTAAAGAAGATCCCAAAAGTACAACCCACTTTCAAGACCCTGAAACAAGAGGACCCCATGGATATTACAGTAAATTTTCCAATTGGTAAGAAGGTGATCAAGAAAAGAATACCTTCTATCATTGATCAAATTCAGCCCTACGATGTAGCTGAGGATATATTAAATTTAAAAGCCAATATAATATTGGCACAAGCTCTTAAATATTCTGACCAAAAGCGGAATCTGGCCAAGATTATGAAAAGACCTAAACAACCCACCACCGAAGCTAACAGTTTGGAAACAGACAAAGCCCGGAAGACTGTAGCAATAAGATGCAATGTGAAAATTAAGGGCACCCCGGTTATAGCAATTTTAGATTCGGGTGCTGCCATGAGTATCATCACCAACAAGCTGATAAAAAGATTAGGGCTTGCACCAACCAAAGAATCAAAAACAGTTGTTGTAACTGCCAATAGTGGCAGATCAAAGGCCCTTGGCATTGTAGAAAATATCAAAATAGTGTTGCAGAGTATAGTCATCCCAATTTACCTACAAGTTATTGAGTCCATGGATACAACTCTCTTACTTGAAACAAATTGGTTTGCTAAATCTTGCGCCACTCTGAACTTCAGAAATCATACTCTGCATATTAAATATGCAGGTAAACAGGCCACCATAAACACTACCCATACCAGCACCACCCTACCACTCCCCATCAAGGATACAGACGAGGAGGATGATGATCAGTAGGTGGATAAACTTGATGAAGAATCGGAGACCTTTTTCTCTGATGAAGCCACCACGGATTCTGAGAATGGATTGTTTTATAATCCTTGGGAAAATGAAGTTAGCTAGCCATATGTTTGGTGGAAACAATGGATGACATGGATCAACCAGAAACCCCACCTGATTACAATATTGGCCAAGAAGTTACTCCACAGCAAAAAGAAGCAGCCCATGAGTTGTTGCTTCAAAACCATGAAGTTTTTGCCACAGATATTTTGGAAAATGAGCAAACCATGGAGCTTGGATATATTGATATAGTACAACATAGAATCAATACTGGAAAAGCCCAACCCATCAAGCAAAAGCCCTATCGGATTCCACCAGATCAGCAAGACTTTCTCCAAAAGAAACTTAACAAAATAGAGAAATTAGAAGTAATACATGCCATTGAAGGACTATGGGGTTCTTCGGTAGTAATTGTCTCTAAAAAAGATGGAAAACGAAGAATTTGTGTGAATTATCACAAGTTAAATGTAGTAACGGAAAAGGATATTTATCTATTACCTAATATCAATGAAATTTTGAACAGCTTCAGAAAAGCCAAGTGGTTTTCTAGCTTGGATTTAGCTAGTGGCTATTGGCAAGTAGCCATGGCAGAGGAAAATAAGAAAAAGACAGCTCTTATCACCAAATTTGGCACATATGAGTTCAACGTAATGCTGTTTGGCCTCTGTAATACACCCGCCACATTTCAACGGTTAATAGATACTGTGCTATAGGAATTTATTAATAAATTTGTAGTCATATATCTGGATAACATAACTATCTACTCCAACACTTTCGAAGAACACCTCCAACACCTACAACAAGTATTTAATAAGTTAAAGATGGCTAAACTAATACTAAATCTAGATAAATGTTTTTTCTTCTTACCTAATATCAAGTTCTTGGGTTAAGGCCAGACGAGGATAAGATTGACAAAATTAAAAATTATCCTATCCCAGTTACTTTGCGCCAAATTTGGGGATTCTTAGAACTTGTTTCCTATTATAGGAAGTTCACAAATAGGTTCTCTAAGATTGCTAAACCATTGAACCAATTGTTGAAGAATGAGCTGTATGTAGTGTTCCTATTGAACCTAGGTTCAAAGTTCATGAACATGTTCAAAGTTTTGAATAAAGAAAAAAGCATATA